GGGGGAAGTTATCGCGCCTCCCCCCGTGGGGGGGGGGGGGGACCAGATTTCTCTCTGAAATGGCCCCCTTGCCTTTGGTCCATTGCATGTCTCTGCTGAGATACAGCAAGAGGCGCCTCAAGACACCAGGTGACTGGACCTGTTAGAGGCAGCAGCTGTGGGGGGGAGCTGTGCCTAACAGGGCTGTGACACTGTGTGCGTTTGTGAGGGGTGGGTGAACAGGGACTCTGCCTTTGTTAGACTGGGCTTGGCGGGATTAGCCCTTTCTATGAGGTGGTGTGGGAGTCAAGTCTGGCAGTGGTTTCCTCACCTTGCCTTGCAGCCGAGATCCAGGAAGTCTTCCCTTCCAACCAAAGCTGCCCCTCAAGGGCTCCCTTTCATACCTCCTTGAAGGAAGCACTGCATGCCAATCTTCTGTTTGTGAGCCCAGCTACTTGACCCTCTTTGCCAGGAGGACTTTGCAAACTGCAGTGTCGGTCTCCCAGTGTGCTCACCTCACCTTTTGCTGTCTCACAGCCTTGTTGGAAAGTCGCAATTCCCACCTGGGAGCCTGCAGTGGGAACCCTAGTAGCACCATAGCTGTATTCCTTGGACAGGAAGTTATTTCAGAGGGTTCTGCTGCTTTATGAAATGCAAGTCAAGTGTAACCTGCTGGTAGAGCATGATGTATCCCTCTCTGTGCTCAATCTACAGCAGATCTGAGTCTGTCAGCACTACCAGCCGAAGAGTTTGGCTCTTTAATTCAGACTGTTAAGATTCCTGTTTTTAGCTGTGGGGGTCCCCAGTTAATCCAAACTGTGTCAGCTAAGATGGCAGCCTTCACACGGGTTATAAGCCATGCAGGTCCAACACCGGACAATGTTCTATTTAGCCTGATATTTTGCCCGTGACAGTGGCCTTTGGTAGATGTGCCAGAGAATGGCTTAAAAACCTATCCACCTAGGGGCAGAATTTCTTCCTGACTCTCCCAGGGTGGTTCTGAAATATGGGGCTGATGACCGTTATCACATTATCCCTAGCTAGTGTACAGATCCTCTTCTTAGTCATATCAGTAGGGCTTTACCGAATGTACAGCCATGCAAAACACGTCACGGACCATGAGATCTGTAGTCCTCCTGTGAAGTCTGGTCTTTTGTGTGCTTTTACACGGTACTATACAGATTCCATGTGGGAGACCAGTATTTCTCAAATGGGCAGTCTGATCCAAAAGGGAGCTGCTGGGGGACCACAGGGTTATTTTAGGAGGGTCACAGTATTGCCACCTTTCTGTGCTGCCTTCAGATCTGGGCAACTGGGCTATGTCTAGACTACATGGCTCTGTCGATGGAGCCATGTAAATAAGTTTACTAGACATAAGAAGATGAAGCGGCGATTTAAATAATTGCGGCTTCATTTACATCAAAATGGCTGCTGCGCTGTGCCAATCAGCTGTTTGGCAGCACAGCGCACTAGTCTGGACGCTCCGCGGTCAACAACGGAAGCCTTTATCGACCACTCCGTTATGCCTCGTGGAACGAGGTTTACCAGAGCGGTCGACAAAGGCTTCCGTTGTCGACCACGGAGCATCCAGACTACCGCACTGTTTTGCCAAACAGCTGATCAGCACAGCGTGGCAGCCATTTTGATGTAAATGAAGCGGCGATTATTTAAGTCGCTGCTTCATTTTCCTATGTCTAGTAAACTCATCTACATGGCTCCGTCCACGGAGCCAAGTAGTCTATACATACCCCTGGAGAGCAGTGGTTGTAATCTTGGCCGGGTGCCCAGCTCTGAAGGCAGCACAGAAGGATGGCAATACCGTAACCATGGTATTGCCACCCTTACTTCTGCTTTCAGAGCAGGGTGTCCAGAGAGCAGTGGCTGCTGACTAAGGACCTAGCTCTGCAGGCATCAGCGCAGAAGTAAGGGTGGCAATACCATATCATGCCATACCATCTTTACTTCTGTGCTGCTGCTGGCAGTGTCTGCCTTGAAAGATGGACTCCTGGCCAGCAGCCACTGCTCTCCAGCTGCCCAGCTCTGAAAGCAATGCTCCTGCCAGCAGCAGTGCAGAAGTAAGGGTTTCAATACTGCAACCCCCCCACACTAACCTTGCAACCCCCACACAATTCCTTCTTGGGGCAGGGCCCCCACAATTGCAACACTGAGACATTTCAGATTTAAATATCTGAAATAATGAAATTTACCATTTTAAAAATCCCATGACTGTGAAATTGACCCTGAATTTGGTAGGTTCCTATTCATCAGTGTCTAATAGCTTGGTTAACTCTTACCAAGTTCACTGCCTCAATAATATCCTGCGTGGACAAATTCCACAGATCACTCACATGTAAAAACAAAAACAACCCCCTCCCACCCCACTGTATATCTGTAATGAAGGTGTTACCTTGTTAATCTTGAGTTCCCAGGGAAAGGCATAAATATATGCACCCTGATGGCCTTCTCTGTACCCATCATCATTTGGGTTTAGTACACGGAAAATGTCAAACAAGCCATTTCATCCCTTCCAGCAGAAGCTTATTCTTTAAACTGGGTTTGCTCCTACAACAGAACTTTGGTGCACTTC